AGATGTAAAATATTCATTATTCTAATTTGGCTTTCTAAAATAAATTTTTTGTAAATAAAATTTATGTCTTATATTTATGAGTGGTTATTGAGGATCAAATTAAAATTGATGGCATCACCCCTCACCCACAATTTCTAAAATGTTTTCTTAAAATTCAAATTTCAAAAAATAAAATGAGAATGTGTTGAATAATTATTAAAATTTTACAAGGGTTTATAAAGAGATTTGTAAGTTGTTGTTTAGATAGTCTAATCTTGAACTAAGTTCTCAATCCAAAAAAAAAGTTAGCGAATGTGTAATTTAAATACATATTTAGAATATTCTGATAAAATCATAGATGCAATTTGAAACTTGAAATTATTCGCGAATAATAATTAATATTCTGGAGTGAAGATTAATAAGATATTTAAGAAATAAATAGAGGTGCTAATTTCCTTATGGATAATTAAATTATATGTATAACATCTTTAGAATACCAAAAATAGTTTGTTTTTTCAATATTACAAATGATGGAAAACACTTTGTTGTTTTAACATTTATTAAGATTTAGGGTTTATGAAATGATATATATTAATAAGCAAAGATAATATTTTTATTCAAATTAGAAATTTACAAAATTTTGAATTATCTTATTTAAATTAAAAATTATTTTTAATATAAAATTTACAAATTTTGATTTTCAACTATATAGCCTACTTGAATCAATTATTGCGTGGTATTCATTTTCATAAGATCGCAGTAATATATTACTTGAAAAAATTGTAAATATACATCCATATTACAACTTATAAATTCTCTAATTTTATACACAATGTTCAAATTATTTTAATTAAAAACCTCAAATTTTAATTTTAGGTATCAGTTATCGATAGACATTTATTTGTAGTGCAGCTGTTACAAATTTCAGTGTTTCAAAATAAAAATTAGAAATTGATTCTGATGATAAATTACCAAATTTTTCATATGACTAAATCTTCATTCTAATAACTGGTTAGAGTTTGAAAGAATAAAAAAATGAAGAAAGTTCTGCTTATGAAAAATTAATTAAATCCTAAATTAAAATTCTCGTTACACATTCAAAAAATCATAATAATATTGTTTACAATTCTATTATCTGTCACCTTATTAGCAGCTCATTTCACATAAACTAAATATTTCTACTGAGAGGATAAATGAAAACCTTTTTATAATTTTTATGTAATTCATCTGGGAATTCAAATTATTTTGATCCCCTCTCATTTCAATAGTCAATAGGATTTCTAAATTCAAGGCTGAACATGATCGTTCAATAGAGTAAAATTAAATTATATAAATTTCTTAGAGTTGATATTTCTCGGAAAAAAGTTTAAATTATCAATAGTAATGCATTAGCCAATATTGCTACAGGCAAATTTCTTCTTACTGATCTAAATCTATTAACTAGAAGAGCATTTGTAGTTAATAATATATTATTAAATAAATAATCTGAAGAAATTAATCTTAATGATATAGTAACTGTCACTCGTTTAGAAGGTATAGATTCTAATTATTGAAATTTTATATTTAAGATAACTTTGGAATTTATTTCTATTTGTATTTTTATATTAAATAATACAATTATGCAAATAATTAGAAGATTTAAAAAAATTAATTATATTTTTAAGGTGAAATTATTTAAGGATTATTA